CCTGGAGTCCCGGGATCGAGTCCCACATCGGGCTCCCTGCTCAGCAGGGAGTCTGCTTCTCCCTCTGACCCTCTTCCCTCTCGTGCTCTCTCTCTCTCATTCTCTCTCTCTCAAATAAATAAATAAAATCTTTAAAAGAAATAAAAAAATAAAAAAAAGTAAAAATAAGGGGCGCCTGGGTGACTCAGTCGTTAAGCGTCTACCTTCGGTTTAGTTCATGATCTCAGGGTCCTGGGATCGAGCCCCGCATCGGGCTTCCTGCTCTGCAGGAAGCCTTCTTCTCCCTTTCCCACTCCCCCTGCTTGTGTTCCCTCTCTCACTGTGTCTTTCTTTGTCAAATGAATAAAATCTTTAAAAACCAGCAGCAAAAAGGGATGGCTAGATCTTTAAAAAAAATAAAAAATAAATAAGACCGTAAGGGAGAGAAAATGCATTTACAGTGCCGTGCTATAAAAAAATCTGTGTGTAAGGGGACCTGAGATGTTCAAACCCGTGTTATGCGAGGGTTAATTGTATATATCTTGAAACCATAATATGATTCTTCTGCTTGGGAGAAAATTCAAAAGGTGTTAATTCTCTTTATCATGCTTTATATCATACCTCCATCTTAATTCTTTGCTGCTTCAGATTTGTTTAATGGGATTGGACAAAGATACCTCAAACCAACACAGACCAGCCCAAATTGAACCACTCATCTCTTTCTAGGTTATTGGTTCAACAAAAGTTCATGAACTGGACTCAGATGAAGAAGTGAAGGGATTTGATTTTTGTTTTTGTTTTTTAATTTTTAACTTAAAAAAATTTATTTATTTTGAGAGAGAGAGAGAAAAAATGAGTAGGGGTGGGGCAGAGGGAGAGGGAGAAGCAGACTCCCTGCCAGGCAGGGAGCCTAACATGGGGTTCAGTCCCAGGACTCTGGGATCATGACCTGAGCCTAAGGCAGATGCTTACCCGACTGAGCCACCCAGGCACCCCAGGGATTTTTTAAAAAATATTTATTTATTTATGTTAGAGAACGCAAGCACATGCATGCAAGCAGGGGAAGGGGGCAGAGGGAGAAGGAGAGAAGTAGACTCTCCGCTCAGCAGGGAGCCCAACATGGGCTTGATTCCACGACCGTGAGATCATGACGTGAGCTGAAATCAAGAGTTGGACACTCAATCGACTGAGCCACCACCCAGCCACTCAAGGGATTTGGTTTTAAGAGGCATTTTCTGATGAACCTCTGGAAGTATTTTTAGCTGCTAAAGTTAAATGCTGCTATATGTTTCAACCATCACATAGGCCTCCCTCAAGATTTCCCTTTAGTTCCTAGAAGGCCACAGGGAGGGAGGGGCCTTTCAACATAGCAGAAGAGGAGAAAAAGTAAGGTAAAAGCAGAATGGTAATCAAATAATTTAAGACCTGAAACTATTAGGGACTAAATAAAATGTTAAGTGAGCTGTTAAAGGGGAAAAATACGTTTTAAAGTGTTGTTAATATTCCCAACAAAGTTCTTTAGAATTATTTTTGATTTTGGTGTTCTAAGAGGTACACAACTCACTAAAACATTTGTATGATTCTTGTAGAAAGAGAGTCTCATGTTGTTGGAAAAATAACCTTAGAATTAATGTACTGGAACTCTCTTCTTACCTTCAAATCCAGGTTTAGATTATATGATGTAATGGCTAATAGAACAAATCTTTGTGCTAGGATGCACTAAGATCCTAAGTTTAATTATGGATTCAGCATTTACAGATTTTATAACTTTTGGCCAGTTACCCCTTTGAGCTTCAATTTTCCCATTTGTGTTAGTATTCACTGTTACTGTTTTTATACTATGAGAAGGCCATTTTTTCCCCATCTTTAAAATATGAATAGTAGTTTTCCTTCTTAACCTTTATGTAGGGATATGAGAAATGATTTCAAGAATGTGAAAACTTGGGGTGCCTGGGTGGCTCAGTTGGTTAAGTACCTGCCTTCGGATCAGGCCATGATCTCAGGGTCCTGGGATTGAGTCCCGCATTGGGCTCCCTGTGCAATGGGGAGTCGGCTTTTCCCTCTCTCTTTGCCGCTCCCCATTTGTGCTCTGTGTGTGTGTGTGTCAAATAAATAAAATCTTTAAAAAAAAAAAAAAAGAATGTGAAAACTCTTCTTTTTTTTTTTTTTTGAGATTTATTTATTATTTGAACGATCTCTACACCCATTGTGGATGGAGCACGTACTCACGACCCCGAGATCAATAGTCAGATGCTCCACCTACTGAGCCCGTACAAGAATGTGAAAACTTCTAATAGGACAGATTCAGTGCCTAGGATATTATTAATAATAATATACTATTATTATTTAAAAGATGCTTTTGCTGCCTGTAAGGAGGAAAAATAACCCACAACTATTCCATCAAGAAAGCAAAAGTATCCAGTATATGGGGGCATTAATAAATTGCTCAGTTATAAATATTTTGGCCCCATATGGAAATGAGATTAGAGTGTGAATATTTTTTTTTTAAAGATTTTATTTATTTGACAAAAAGAGATAGCGAGAGCAGGAACACAAGCAGGGGGAGTGGGAGAGGGAGAAGCAGGCTTCCCGCCGAGCAGGGAGTCCAATGAGGGGCTCGATCCCAGGATGCTGGGATTGTGACCTGAGCCAAAGGCAGATGCTTAACGACTGAGCCACCCAGGCGCCCCATGAATATTGGGTTTTTAAAGGAAAACTCTGTCCCGGGCCCTGGGCTTCTTTCCCTGTTCCTTATTCTTACTTGCTATGACAAGATCCCTTGGTAGTCCCACCTTTAGTAGTGGAACACTAAATGTCAATTAGCATATGCCCAATTTAAGTGCTTTGTATCTGACTACTTTTCTACATTGACCCATTGGAATGAAACTTCCATTAGACAAGGAATTAGCATTCTAAGTTTCCTTTTTACAGATAAAAGAATATAGATAGGTTAATGTGATGTGTTCAGCATCATGTGGGGATTGAAATGCTCTTGAGTTTCTAGTCCTATTTCCAGTTGTTCTCTCCTAGGAGATATTGGAAAATATATGAGCATGTCTTCGATTGTCATACTGACAGTGGGGTGCTACTGGCATTTAGTGACTGGGAGCCAGGGATGCTAAACACTCAGCAATTTGATGGACAGTCTCATAGGAACAATTGTCCCACCCCCAGTGTCAACTGTGCTTCATTGAAAAATGTTAATTTCCCGCCTGGACATCTCCTTGGGCAGTCTGTTTCCTTTCTCTAATTCTCTTTTCTTTTTTTTTTTTTTAAGATTTCATTTATTTATTTGACAGAGAGACAGAGAGGGAACACAAGCAGGGGGAGTAGGAGAGGGAGAAGCAGGCTTCCCGTGGAGCAGGGAGCTCGATGCAGGGCTCGATCCCAGGACCCCGGGACCATGACCCAAGCCAAAGGCAGACGTTTAACAACTGAGCCACCCAGGCGCCCCTCTAATTCTCTTTTCTTAATAAAAGTTCTTTTTTAAAGTTAAGTCCTTTGTGTTAGAGTGGCATGTGATCAAGTCCTTGCTCTGGAAATAACCTGGTTTTGTTGGGATTTCTTTGTTGCCATGTTGGTGGGAAAGGCTGGGCAAGAATCCTTCCGCTCTATCACCCGTTCCTACTACAGGGGAGCTGCTGGAGCACTGCTGGTGTACGATATCACAAGGTGAGTCAGATCAGCTGGGCCAGAGGGAGCCTTTTCCCCATGTTCTCAAAATCTTTTTCTTTTCTGTGTTCTGGTTCTGGTGAATGCTAAAGAAGAAAGGCTTCTCTAATATTTTCTTTTAGACATGTAGCTTTCCCCCTTTTCCCATGTGTTTGGAATTACTTTGGCATTTTGAAATAGACCTCTGACTTACTTTTAAACTTTTCTGCCGTAGGCGTGAAACCTTCAACCACCTGACCTCCTGGTTAGAGGATGCCCGGCAACACTCCAGCTCCAACATGGTTATCATGCTGATTGGGAATAAGAGGTAAATTTTTTTTTTTTTTTT